CGTCTGCATAATTAAAATTATGATTTCCCTCCAGTGCAGCTCTGCGGTTGCCGAACGAAATGCCAAGCGCAACGCAGCGGAGTGGAGTGGAGCGGAATGAAAAACTTCAATTGCGAGCGTCAAACTGTCACAAAGCAGTTGGCAAACAGAAACAGAAACACAGCAAAGGACAAAGCCGGGGCCAGCCAAAACTGACAAATTGGAAGAACTCGGAAAAAATTGGTGAGGGAAACTACAACTGCCACAGAGAATATTCAGAGAAGGGGAATGGAGCTGGAAATGGGGCAGAGAGAGAGAGACATGGGAGTACAGGCTCAGAAGCAGAACCTGAGCCCAGAACCATAACCAGACGCGAGGAACATAAAAGTTTATCAACTAAGTAAAATAATGCAGGGCACAAAGTTTGCAACCGCAGTGGCCGCAGCTTGGATATGGCGTACACAGAGAGGGGGTTATGTGGGGGCGCCACAGGGCCACGGATGCCCCACAACAATAAAAACCAAATGTTGCTACAATTTCTGGTTACAGGACTGTGCGACCAGGACTAAAAGCATGGCAACCAGAGAACCAGGGAGCACGTTTTGCATAATGATGAATGACGAAGACGACGACTGCGACGGCGATGGCGATGACGATGGCGATGGCAACGGTGTCTATGATGTGTGCTTGTTGCAGCCACAGCTCCGCTCTCTGTTGATTTGTTTATGGAGTGCCACAGCAGTAGAGCAGTAGAGGCAGGACGAAAAGGAGGAGGCCGCAGAAATGATAGTACACTTTTAAGCGCTGCGGTGTGTCAACCGAATGTCGAGACGTCGCAATTGGAAACAAATTATGCTCTAAGCGCATTGCAGTACCCTGTCCTCTGCCCCGTAGAGTTGAGCACATCTCTGGAGAGGTCTCTGGATGTGGCCTCTGGATTGCTGTCTGATTATGTCTTCATCGAAATTACGTATGCACCGTGCGGCTGAGATGATGAAGTGAGCAAGAGCATCATTTGCAGCATGCTTAGCATTTTTATTGTATGTACAGTTTTACCCTACGGAATCGTCGTGAAGACTCTTTCTGTGGATGTGCTCTTTTAAAGCTCGCCTTCGGAATATTTTGAGAGAAAAATTTACCTAAGCGTCCTGCTGGCAGTCTTCATAAGTTGTGGACTCCATTACTCTCTCTCTCTCTCTTACATTCCTCGAAAAATTAATTTTAAAAGATTAAAAAATAACCAACAAGGATTGGTGTGATGTGCAGTCCTTCCCGTTAGAAACTCGTATCTATAATATGGATCTATTGAAAGTATTTGGAATTATTCCATTTCTTAGTTGAAGCTTGTCCTTTGACAGTTCTACGAGAAACAAAATAGGGAATAGAAACTGCCATATATTTGCATCTAATTGGCAGGCAGCTAACAGGCAAAACGTCTCTATCTCTATGGATTCTCCTTTTGCCATACGAAATGGTAACCAGGCTGGCCAGCCGTGGAGCAGGCTCCATTGGTCAGGACGAGCCAGAAGCCAGTGCGCCACTCCTACTTCAGCCATCAATCGGTCTGTCCTGTACAGCGCTTTAACGACAGGCGTCCGGCGCTTGGCGCTCGACAGCTTCGTGCAGCTAATATGCAAATTCCCTGCAGGCTGCAGCATTTACTTTAGCTGAGTTTTTCTTTCGCTCAGCTCTTGCTCCAGCTTTTACCCGCCTGGTTTTCCCCCTCGGTTTGGCTACATTCTGCTGCCATTGGCGGCGCATCTTTTTGCCTTTGTTTTGCTTCCGCTGCGCCATGCCATGTTTCCAACCCATGTCGTTTCTCCTTTCCATTCTTTTCCCGTTCTCGGGCTTATTATGCATTGCACATTTTTACATTTTTACTTAAAAGGCGGAGCGACACGATGAAGATGACGACGGCGACGACGACGACATTTGAGGGAAAAAACTCCGCACACCGCAAAAATCGTAATGAAATTTTTATTATACGACAAAGTAAAATATTTTTATCAGCATTTCTCGCTTGTTGCTTTTGCTTGGGCGTAGCGCAAAAAAATTCCTCCGGCATGCCAGCGGCTTTGAGCGGAAAGCGCACGGAAAGATGCCGAGGGAAAGAGGAAAGTGGTCGTGGACGTGGGCGGAAAACTGGGCCAGACTGTCAAGTCAATCAAAATATGCCAAAAAGTTTTCCGCTTTCCAAATTCTTAAGAAGTGCGGCCATATGCCCGGGATACATCCGGTCTATCCACTGGGCATCCGTATCCATGGCCCTTATCTATGGCTTTATTTGTTTAAGCAAATTCCTGGCTAAACACTGCACTTCAGCACAAAAATTCGCACCCCCAGACCCAGACCAATGCTCCTCCTCCGTGCCACAAATTGCAGCGCAAAGTTTTTGGCCTGCACTTTGGCTTTTTGGCCGGGTGTCAATTTGCCTGGGCCGTGGCCAGGAAAACTTTTCATCTATTTAAAGCAAATATTTGGAATGCGTAATTTCCTGCAAAATGTCTGAGGTGGTTTTTCATTCCATTTAAAAGTCCTTTCGTTAGGCAACCAGAAAAGGTAACCACACTTAAGAGGTGCAGGATTGGGCTATTATAAAGAACTATTTTCATTAATGCGTTTATAAATGTTATATAAAATTCCTAAAAATTTAGGAAGAATTTTTGAATCTAAAATAGCGAAAATTGACAAATTTAAAAGCAAATTCAAATCGATCCGCTTACAGTCTCCAGTCCCCAGGGACCAGGGACTTTACCCATCCTTTTAAAAACTGTTGACTTTCCAGAGCGTTGTAAATTGCGCATCGGGTGGGATGGTAGCAACAAATGGTAAAGTAAAAACAGTAACAACTGCATTCCCCGAGCACAAACCGATACAACAACAACAACAACAACAATCCAAAAAGCCATCAAGTCGAGTCACGATTTTAGTGAAATAAAAAATATATATAGTAAAAAAATATTGCATGCGATTTATTTTTGTTTCCCTGTGTTTGTATTGGTCGAGCTACGCGGCTGCTAGAAATTTGTGGCAGACCCTACCAGCCAAAAGTTGCCCCCACGGGAATCCATCCCATCCCTTTTCGATGTATTGTGCCGTATTGCGCCACAGAAAAAGTATTTCCGAATGGTTCACGCAGCACGATTTTTGTTTATTCTTAGAGCATTTGATTTGTTCTTATTTTTTGTATGCTTTACTTTTTGATTTGTTGCTTGCTAAGGCGCCAGAAATTTCATTAAATTGCATTTTATCGAAATTAAAAAGGAATTTTCCTTTCGATAAAACAAACAAAACTGCAATGCAACTATTTTTTTTAAACTATTTTTTCGAGCGCTAACCGAAATGGTGCGTCCTGAAACTGAACTTAAAAGAAACTATGGCTGAACGCCTAGCAGAAATTTTTCGAGTTTTATATACCCGATATTCAAAATGAGTATTGGGGTATATTAGATTTGTGGTGAAAATGGATGTATGTAACGTACAGAAGGAATCGTTTCCGACACCATAAGGTATATATATTCTTGATCAGCATCAAAAGTCGAGTCGATTGAACTCTGTCTGTCTGTCCATCCGTCCGTCTCTATCAGCGCCTAGTGCTCAAAGACTACAAGAGCTAGAGCAACGACATTTTACATCCGGACTTCTGTGATGTGTCACTGTTACAAGAATATTTCAAAACTTCGCCCCACCCACAATTTTAAAGATACAAGAAAACAGAACTACGAAGAATCGTGGAGGATGACTATATCTTCTAGAATGCAAAATCTGAACCAGATCATATAATTATTATGGGCAGAATCAAGAAAACAATTTCATGCTCTCTCGCTCTGTCTCTTTCTAACACACAGGTTTCATGGTCGGTTTCGCCAACTGCAAAATATGACTTCAAGGCTCTCAGTGGCTACGCAGCGCCCGACGTCACGCTCAGACTGATTTTCTGTCTCTCTCGCACGTACTCTTTGTCGTGTCGCTTAATATTCGCGGCGTCTGCCGGAGTAGAGGCATACTGACTAAGTATCGGGTATAAATGTATAGTTGTGGTCTCCGCAGCAACTCACAACGTTCCCCCTCGTTTGAGTTATGGTTGAGACCATAAAGGCCACATTTGTTAACAAAGTGGTATGAGGTATAATTTGGTATTATATTTTTATCGCTAGACGAACGGTATCCAGCCTATGCGTTTCGCTGGATTCTGTGGTGACAGTGGCCTTTGATTGGACTCGCGTTGAAAATCTTCTCCTAAGGCGCCCGCACCTTGCTGAGCGACCTGCGCTCAGCGCTAGACAGATCATTTAGATTATTATAAATATGCTCTGGATTTCCAAATCCCCTCCATTTCTCTTGGTTCCTCTTTCACGACAGACGCACATTTCTTTTTTACGATAGTTGTTATATCTGGGCTCTAATTTGCATAGGCATTGACGACGGCTAATTTTTTACCCGGATTGCGGGATTTTCTTTATGTGCTCAGGCATTTTATGCGTCTTTTCCACATTACATTTTTTTTGCCAATAGGAGAAACAGTGTGCCCACACCATAATCCGAAGTGTAATTATCGATATGATCCAAGCTCGACCAGCTGATCCGCCAGACTATCGGCGCTCTTGATCCAAATTCTATTACAATTCAAAGGGATTGGATTGAAGCCAACAAGCAGCAATTAATCATTTTTGCCGAGGTGTCATGCAAGTCCAAGGCCAGGTTACATGACATGTGGACAGTGCAGGCGATTGCAACCAAACTCAATTACTCATTGCAATTATTAATAACTGTGGTCGTGGGATACACCTTAATATGTTTCCAAAAACGATTATTTTGGTATTTAAATTTCATCAGTGAGGAAGCCCATTAGGAGTGGCCCGTAATGGGTTAATCCAGTCGGCCCCTTTCCAACACTGGCAAATACCGGGTCTAAGTAACAAACCTACGAATCACTTGTACAACACATGCCGTTTCTTGCGTTAAATGTAAATTTAATTTCCGTACAAAATCGTCTAATTTGTAATACTTTGTGTTGAAAAATGGTGAATATTGTGGACCTAGCACCGAAGATGATCAGCACTATATTTGAATACCTTGAGCAAACGAAGGATAGACAATGTCTAGCCAAAAGTCATCCAGTATTTAAGGAGGCTATTGCCATTTACGCCGTCGAAAGCAAATGCTACGAGAAAATACAAATTGAGAGTTTGCCTATTGAGGACTGGTCGTTCATATTATCCGCATGCGGCTCAACTGTTCTGCACATTGCGTGTTATAGTGCGGAGATTGCCTCGGCTGCCGTCAAGCTGGCATCCGAATATTGTCCCAACTTGAAGGAACTTATCATTCCAATACGCCACGAGTATTGGAACGAGGTTAAGCCGTTGCTAGTGGGACTGGAGAACCTGAAGGGTCTGATATTGAGGAATGACTACACTCCAATTGATTTAACGGCCTTAGTGAAACTCCCCGGACTGATCACCCTGCTATTGTTTGCGTTTAACCCTAAAGACGGTAAGTCTTGCCATTGTCTGGCAATATCCGTTCGAAATGTTTATACATATTGTACATATTTGCTGTGTCTATTTCAGTACTGCCAGTCGTCAATTTGTTGCAACTGAAGAATATATGTATAAGGAACGTCGACATTGTGCTCAACATCTACGAATTCTGCCGCGGCATGGCGCAGCTTGAATCTATAGAATTGGAAAAGGTTCACATAAACTTTCCAGCTACTTTTACGCGTGATCCGCTGTGGTCCAAGCTGAGGTACCTGAAAATCGGGGTTGTACGTGTTTCAAGCGAAATGCCGTACTTACCGAAGCTGAAAATACTGTACATTAAATGCCACTCCGATATAGAACTGGGCAAGATATTAGGCAGATCGGTCACGCGCTATTCAAACACCTTGCTGGCGCTGCGCTTGTATTGCACTGACAAATGCTCCAGCCATGAAAATAATGCCAAGACCATCGGACAACTAAAGGCCCTAAAATCGCTTGTCTTCTCCAATCTGAATAATACATATTTGCACTTCATCAAGTCGGATCAGCTCCAGAAGGTGATCATACTATCCTCCAATAAAATAACCAACTCGTCAATCCTTGGCCTACTCCGAGGGTGTAAGAACCTCCGATATCTCGATGTCTCTGGATGTAGGAGAGCAAACAAGAACGTTGTTGGTCCGCTCATTAATATTCTGAAGAAAAATAACGTTCAACCAGAGAATCCATTGGTTCTTACTGTTCATTTAAAATCATTCGGAGATGTCAACCAAGGAACTGGGACTTCGAATCCGTATTACAATTTGTTGGTCGTCAAAATATGCGAAAATTTTATACGTGAGCGTCCCTTTACCGTACCTGATCCGCTCTTTGAAACTGAATACTTTGTGCATGAATAATTAATTCAATTTAATGAAGTACCGCATAAGATGTTTTTTTTTATTCAAATGAAAACGAAATACGCCGAAAGATTTACCATGGTTTGTATGGTACCGGGTAATCGGTATGACAGCCACCAGAAAATAAAATTGTAATTAATTAAACGAATATGAATTATTGTTAGAAATACAAATAAATAAATATTCTTTCAAATTAACAAATCAGAGTTTCTTAAAGATAGTGTTCAGAATATCCATTGGCAAATTGAATGTAAAATATGTTAAGGTCAAGTTCATACTTTCCTTAATTAACAACACAAGTTTAAAAACTGAATTGATTTATTGATACCTATTGTGCTTTGATAAGAACATTTGTATACATATGAAGGTGGAATTTCTATTTCATCGAGAAATAAAGTTTTCCCTGAATGGTAATCTTCACGGGATCGATTTTCTTCAGTATTTTCGTCATGGTCTCAACCAGACGGATTTTTGAGTCGGTTGTGGCTTTGTTTCGGAACTTGGAGAGCAGTTCGGTGGGTGTCAATGGCTTCCGCTTAAGGTAGCGCATAACTGCCTCCTCGTTGACGCCATATTGGCTGAAATGTGAGCCATATTTATTAGTGTACTTTTGAAAAAATAAACAATAGTTAACTTACTTAATTTTACGCAAAGAGATAGACGGTTGCAGTGGGGCGCTGATATTCTTCCTGGGAGCCCTCGCGTTGTTCGAAATTGTAGGATTACGAGTACTTTGCGGAGTACTGCCTATGCGCTTGGTGGAGTCTTTGCTGGAAGACTTTTTGGCCGCGTTATACATTCGCTTCTCCTTCTTATTGAAGGTGACCCTCTTTCTAGGTGGCCCATTGCTGAGATCCTTTTCGGAGTCTGAACTGTCGGAACTGGATTCTATGGATGATTCTTCACTGCTTAAATTTGATGGCGTCTCCACCATGTGATTGCTAAATGCGCCGCCTTCAGGATTCTCCTCCTGGCTCTCGTCTTTCTGGTTATCCGAGTTTTCATCATCATCTTCTTCGTCTGAGTTGAGCAGCTTTCGTAGAGCTTCCTCTTCAGATACTCCCTTCAAGTCCTTGATCACCTTGGCTTCTTGATCGTGTTCACTGTGGAAGAAAAATGCTTTGTATGCATTTCTAGTAATTATGGAAGGCTTACTCTTCACTGGAACTGGAAATGTAGTCCCTTTCACGACTGTCTACGTCACCATCGTCAGAGTCTTCGAAAGCCTCGAAAAACGTCTTCATATTAACCTCTTTTTTGCCCTTAGGTTTGGCCTTTTTGCCATCAGTAGCATCGATGATGCCGTTTTCTTTTTCCTTCTCTTTTTGCTTCACTTCTTCGCTTTCATCGTCCGATTCGGATTCACCCGAGACCATCCACTCGACCTCATCAGAGATCTTCAGACCGCTGATTCCCTCATCGGTTGCCTTAAGGAGTTTAGCCGAATCGGCATCCGGTTCCTCCTCGTCGGTCTGGTACCGACGGCGCATCATCAGGTTGAAGAAGTTAAGCGATTTCTCGCGACGTCCGAACTCCAGCTCCACCTCTTCCGAAGTGAGGGTTTTGTAGCGCTCAATGGCCTGGAACGTGTACCACTCATGGACGGGGTACGCATTGAACCTACCATCTGGGGCATTGGTGAACACATAGTATGCGGCATTCGCACCCACTTCCCCAGTACGAATGCCCTTGAACTTTTTTCCCATTTTCCCATCGACTTGCAACAACCAGGGCTGTGCCTCCGGTCTATACTTTTCGACCACGCTGGCTTTCTTCTTGCGGCGTGCACCCCCGTACTGACGCCAATTGTACTCTGTGCCGCCCCCAAATTTCGCCCCCAAATTTTTCTCTTCCTCGGCCATTAATAGATGCTTGTTATTCTCCCGAGACATCTTCGCACTTTGCCATTGAGTGAAATCTACCTTCAAATTGTCATTGAAGCGCATTATATGGCGGTTGTTGCGCACCTTTGGCACACGAATTATGAACTCCTTGACATCATCTTTAGGAGCCTTTGCTGAATCTTCAAGAGCCTTTGCTGAATCTTTAAGAGCCTTTGCCGAATATTTGCAAGCTTTTGTGGTTGATGGAACAGGTGGTACTGCCGAGTTGGAGCTTCTTTTGGCACCGCTTGGACGCTAAATTGTAGATGGATTTGATAAAATCCATTTTAGATCTATAGAATAAAAAGAAAAACTTACTTTCAAGCTTTTACAATTGTTTGTCGACATATTTTCCGCTATAACAGTAATTATAGCTGCGAGTTACTTTGACGAATGATATAAGACTCGTACTAGTCAACTATTTTCTTTAAATACTATTTTACCAAATTCGGAGAAAAAAGTCCAGGCCTTCTGAGGGGCCTACTATTCGCACGTTGTATGTACATACAGGGGTATATTTCAAAGACTATACAATACCAGTTGATTTAGTTTATAATGGTTGTTTTTTTGTTGTTGTTTGGTGTGCTTTCAAATTCAAAAAGCTGCTGGTTTGTCCAATTGTATCCTATATAGCAATTATTATTAGTTTTTTTGAATGCACCAATTTGCACCTCCGCGTGTAGCCCATAAGGAATCCTTCCTAAGAAGAAATAACAAAATCGAATAAAGGCTTTTTAGGCCATCGGCATTCGCCTGTGAACCAACCAGCAGTCTTGTTGTGGCATGATTTTAAAATTAATTTTGTCAGAGCCCCAAATTAACCCGCTTCTTTGATTCCACGAAATTGACATCTCTAAATATAGGGGGGAATTAGTGAATTTGTGTGCTTCAACAAGAAGTGAAGAAGCCGAACAGAAACATGCTTGTTTTTTCTTATCTTCAATGTGCTGAATCATGCCCATGCAATGTAGTTTTTTTTTTGCAATCTTGCCACCTAAAAGAGTCTCAAGTCTGCGTATTTGTTTCTAGAAAATTACCGGATTGCCTCTGTATTTTTTGGGCCTCAACCTTTAATTTGTTTCGGAAATTATTGGTCAATGCAGCAAAATTCTGCATTTTTGTGCCAACAGCTGACGCAGCCCGATTCAGTTATCGATACCACAAAATCTCTGTCCCACACAACGAGGCTTTTTGCGCTTAACAACACTAAATTGTGCGTTTAACACGACTTATGAAAATGAAATATATCGACGACATCTTGCGAAAAGGGAGCACCTAAAAACGAAAATGAAACGTTCTGTCAGAAAATGCAAAATTAAGTGATAAAATTGCAATTAATAAATGCAATGAGAAAGAAGTGAGAAGATCAAGTATTCTCTGTTGGATCTCTTGTCCCTAGATGCATTGCCAACTTTTGGTGCAAAACCAGAGTCGGAAAAGAAAGGATTCATCTCACATGATGCCCGGGCATTACAGAAAGCTATCTGAGGGCATGGCCTAGGCCGAGGTTGGGACCGGGGCACAGCTGTCAATTGTGAAGGACAATAACAAAGTGCAGGAGGTGCAACATCAGAAACAGCAGCAGCACCAGCAAAAACTGTGGCAGCAGCAGCAGCAATTTGTGTGGCGAGTGGCACACGGCGAGGCATGTGAAATGAATGCAATGCTCCAGCTACGTGATGATAATCGCACATGGGTCACACACACACACACTATTGCAAATTCATAGGACACACAGATGCACGCATACATAGACAGAGCAGAGGACTTGGCCCTGACTACAAGTTGCTGACACTCACGGATGGGGCTTAACCCATGACTCACTGGGGGAGCGGGTATTGATGTTTGTAGTTAATGCTGGCCAACAAATCGAACTTAAGTGAAATGGGATTAAAATAGAAATTGTAACGAAAATTTTTTGAGATATTTAAAACAGATCGAAAGATATTAGGAATATTGGTAGAATTAAATAGATAGCTTATTACTGAATTCACTGCTGCACCTGAATTCCACCTCAATCTTTGACCGTGTGGATTTACACCCACCCATCATCAATGGGTTAACTGTCGGACACAAATTGACAACATTTCGCAAATGTTTGCTGGCCTGGCTGCAGGTTACGGACGTGGGCTGGTCCAGAGGATTGACCTGGGCATTGTGTGGCACCCATTTGATGGAGTGCAGCCTCTGGGTGGGTGAGTAATTTTGCCGGGCCTCGTGCCACTCTCGTATCTCTCTGCAGTCTGTTGTAGCTGCGTCACAACAAATCAGTTTTGCATTTGCATGCATTGCATTTTGGCCACCCATCGGCTACGCCTCCGGGAGGACCCAAGAATTGCTTTGTAAGAGTTGTCTAAGCTTGCAGTCGGCGGCATGTTAACCAACTTGCCACAGAGCAGGCAGCATGAAGGAGAGAGAGATGATTTATGGGCCCGGCAAAAGCTGAAACTGAATCTGAGGCACAGTTAAAGGCTGAGGCAGAGGCAGCCGCACCGAAGCGCTGGTGCCATAAACTTTTGCCGACTGTTGTCAGCTGGCAAACAATACCAAAAGCCACAAACATGGCCTAGACGAGGCGACGGCCATTCTCTTATGGCTGCAGAATGGGACATCGGGGGCGTGGAAGCCGCGCCAACAAATATGGTAGGGAAAAAATGAGCACAGAGCCAACTTTATGCATAAATATTTGCATGCAGACAGGCGCATTGGCCAAGGGAAAGGTCTCTCCTCCTTCCAGCACCCACCCACTCTCAATCTATCCCTCTCTACCTCCACCGCACTCTCTCTCTCTCTCTCCCTCTCTCTTTCAATTGAGCCGCTGGCAAAGCCGCTTCATAGTTGAAAAATTTTGCGCATTTTCCACCAGGAGCAGCAGCATTTGGCACGAAAAATCCGCTGCCACTGCCTGAACCTGCCACTGCCACTGCCACCGCACCTGTGCAACCTTCTGGTTGGCAAATTCTAAATTGCTAATGGACAACAAAAGGGCGGAAAAAATATGAAATAAAGGAGCAGCAAGCAGTTCTCTGCTGGGTACCCCTCTGACTTTAATAATGCCGCCATTTCTCAGAAAGCCCTAAAGTTTTGCGCTCAATTTACACAATACATCAGGCAGGCAGGGAGTGGGTCGACTGCTCCAAAGAGCGCACGAGTCCTTTTCTGCTCTCACTTTCATCGAGATGAAGGATTACGTGATTTATTCCGCTTTTAAATTGCTAAATGTCTCCGTCTTTTGGCATTTTACTTTATTTTTATGCGTGAGATTTACGATGCCTCTTTTTTTCTTCAAGCAAATCGATTCTGGCATTGCAATGGAATTAATTTGCAAATAAAATTTGGCAGCAGATTGAGGCTTTGAAAAGTTGGCAAACGCCAAAAGGCAATTGAAAAGCAAATATTTCGACAGCTTAGAGATTTCCCCAAGCACCAAAATCTATTACCCATCCATCCCATCCCCAATCAGATGACCTAATTCTACCCTACACCTTTCTTTACAGCATTTATCCATTAACTATTTGCATAAACAAATTTTCAACTTTATGGTTTTTTATATTTCACATTTTGTAATGGCTGGACAAGCAGACTGGACGGGCCCCCTTTGGGTTTGATTTAATGACTTTTCAACAGAAATGATGTTGACATACTCCAACAAATAAACTCGCTTTATTGACTTTTTATGAACCGCAGAACAGAGGACACACAACCGAAACAAAGCCCTGGTAACATCATGATGACCGCCCCACAAACGTAGACACACAGACACACTCTCATGCTCACACACACACACACACAAAGAAAGTTTCAACATAATTTTTACTTCCGGTCGGCGCCATTGTCGCATTTAATATGCTTGTATTTTTTTGTTGCTTTTCACTGGTTCTCGTCCTGTTTCTGGTCCTGTTTCTGGTGCTGTTTCTTTTCCCGGTCTGGTCTGGCCAGTTGTTGCCCCCTTTCCGCACTGTACTTCCTGTACCCCCAGGCATCTGGCAATTAAATAAATGTCTTTCAAGCCAACAATGTGCCAAAATGTGAAGCCCAAATGGCAGCGATAACGACAATGAAAGAAGGGTCCAATGTGCTGTTAAAGTCCGGCTGATATGTGGAAACTGTTCTAGGAATTGTACTTTGAAATTCCTAAGAGCGGAAATTTTAATCAAATATTTAACAAATTCTGTTAAAACGTTTAAGGTAAAATTCAACATTATACAGCTAAGAATATTTATGAAAAAAGCTCAGTTTATTCGATTAGTAATAATGGCTATTCGCTTGAGCTTCTTAAGCAGTATTATATAATATTCTTATTAATTTCACTAACATCTGGATCATTCAGAACTGAGCAAATATATTTACTGGAACTAGTGGAACAGTTTCCACCAACACACCACAGTCCGGTTATGTCTCTGCCCGCAGTAATTGACGATTCTGGCGCCCATGTTGCAACATTGCCCTGGGGCACCACGGCACTTGCTCGAGTAGACCTCTCCCCATTCTTGCTTGTTGCTCATAATTGCGCGTTGTATTAATTTTTTATTGTATTTATATACATATGTATGTATATATGTACCATTCCCCCTCTCACACTGTCTTTCCTGGATCCCTCAACTTCAACACAAAAGAGCCTAAATGAGCAAAGAGAATAAAAACAGGGGAGAGGGCGCAAAAAAAAGAGGAGAAACCAAAGCAAACAAACAAAAAAAAGGGCAACATCAACATCGACATCGACAACGAAGTTGCCTTATATGTTTTTGGTTCAGTGGACTGGGCATTGGCTTTTTGCCCCCACTGTGGCTATTTTATTTACAGCTACAAGGACACGGGGCGGCACACTGCCTGACTGCTCGACTGACTTCCTGCTGACTCTTGTGCCGAAAATTCGACTGAAACGACAAATTTTTAATTTGTAACCAAGGCGTGCTTAACCTCCACAAGCCCCCACAAGAGGTGGGAAAATACTGAAAAGAAAAAATTAAATTTCGAGTGTTTGTTGCACTTTATTCGGGTTCTTCCTTTGTACATTTTATGGCTTTTATCTCATTCGACAATACTCGTAAATCCAATGAGCGATACAATCGAGCGTCCAACGAGAAAAACTCTTAAGAAAAACTCAAGGATTTTAATTGCACTGACCAATCGCTTCCCCCCCCCCATTGATCATCAATCAAAGGAGAGAAAACTTATCGAGAGCAGCATCTCAGTCCTTTGGTAATTATTCACAAATGGATTGCAAAATTATAATTTAAATCAATACCAAAAAGCTTTTTGTTGCCATGGGGATCCGCTGCTGCCACATTTCATAAATGTTGCAATTAAAAACATTTCGCCGCATATTTTGTATAGGAGTATTTTTA